GAAATTTGCAAAAAAAATTTTGAGACAGAGTCTCTACATTTCGTTTACCCTTTAGTTTATACGTCAAAAGTACGTTTATCAAATGGACATCGTAAAAATAATACGGAACTTTTATATTTTTATTTTTTTTATTTATTTACAATATAAGTTTACAGCGGAAGCCAAAACACTTATATGCTAGTCAATATATAGTTAATTATGTACTCAATTATAGTTAAATTACATAGGGTACTCTGCTTTGGATTTTCAAAAATTCATTGAGGCACAAAACAGCATATTTCATGAATTCGTTTGGACTATCATGGAGTATGTCGGCACGTGATTGCAGTGTTGGTTAAGCAGAAAGAAGTCGCCCAAGCTGTAGCACGCCATCGCAGGTGCACGAGAACAAGAGACGCACCCTACAGACCCACCCGAGATACCACTTTCATGTTGTCAACCCTACCGTTCAAAACTGCCTCTGTGGCCGAACGTTTCGTGGTTCGATTCCCGTGCCGGGAGAACTATTTGTATGGCCTACACTTAGAATAATAACGCATAGAATGATACTTTCATATCAAACGAACTGTCACAAGTGAGGCAAAAATCAAATTCATGTAGGCTAGTTTTAGTAGTAGGTTAATTTTCGGTTTAAGTGAATATTTATATAAAAATACAAGTTGAAACGCGTTACTTCCTAGTGGAATGTGACGTTAGTATCTATTTTATGTTTGTCTGACTTATTTTTACACTCATTTACCGCACATTTCGTCATTTTTAGCTAAAATTCTTGAGCTGTTCGCGGTGCAAGTTGACCTTGAGCGCTGAAGGCCCGCCCGCTCGTGTAGGCCCATTGGGCGCGCTTCAATTTGCCTCACTTAGCGTGTGCGAACTAGGTTTCTATGCGTTATTATTCTAAGGGCCTACATTTATTTCTCCCGTGAGTTTGGGTGTAATTTGTGGTTGTCTATGTGTGTGTCCACGCGCGACACAGGGTTTTCCGTAGTGCGGGGCAATGTTGAGTGTGCGCGTTATTATTATTATTATTATTATCGTATTTATTTTAAACTCTCGCCTCTCCCAAGGCCTAAAAAAATTATTATTATTTAATTTATTTATTATTATTATCGTATTTATTATTATTATTATTATTATTATTATTATTATATGATATTATTATGACATTAATATTATTATATATTATCATTACATTATTACGCCTCAGTAATAAGCTTTCCAATCCAATCGATCCAATCGAAGGAGAAAGATACGGGTGAATATTGTACATCTTTTTATACGCAAATCTTGCAAACCTCTTCTGCACTGTCTCTATCATGTCACTATGTACAGTTTTAGCTTTTAGTTATACCTACAAAGTGTGTTTATGGAAATGACGGCTGATAGAGTGGAAGAAAAATACAAGTTGTGCCGACCCTACCCAGCGTGAGATAAGGACCAATTACGTACATGTGTGTAAAATTACAGGTATACCTGCCCTATTTAAGTATAAAAAAATTATGTAAATTAAAAAAAAATATTTGAAACAATAACAAGATATACATGATAAGATTATGTTCGTTAATAACTACAGTAGTCATTAAGACTGTGTCGCAGCTATTAACGCCCAAATCTGGATAACTAGTGTAATGGGATATTCCAATTTATATGTAATACATTATTGCAGAGGCCGGGAAATAAGGGATTGCTGGACGAGTATGACTTAAAAGGACGAGTGACAGTGAGACCAGGGTAATAATACGAGTCCATACGATACAGGTCCATAAATGACAAACTTTCCGTGTTCATTTTTTGAAAGTAATGCAAACATTTCCGTGAGAGTCAGAATGGCGGGTGTACCTTAACGGATGCTGACAAATTTGGTATCAAAAAAATGTATCTAATTTGTACTATTTAGTACCTCTGTTCTAAAAAATTGTACCTCCATCAGAACGAAATTATAGCAATATAGTCAATACCCGCCGTATTGCCTGTCAAAACGGCGGGTGTACCCCGGATTACCAGTGTTTATTTAATAACTACAAAAACTTCTAACTCCAAAAATATGTACCTTAATTGTATTGTGAAGTAAAGGAAACAGTTCGATCTGCTGGTTAGTTTCTGAGAAATAAGTCAAAATATATCGAGTTCTTAGGTTTTCGCGATTGTTACACATAGGAAATGAAACTATTTTTCCGGATTTAAATCGCGCATATTTGTTTTTTCAAAGAAACTAACATTACGGGCCCTTTACAGGTCCCATGGTCACAGTTGATTGAACAAATATACGCGATTTAAATCCGGAAACATAGTTTCATTTCCTAAGTCAAAATATGTTGTGATTTCAGAGTACCGTGTACATCTAAACGAATCCTGACACATTTGATACCAAAAACATGTACCAAAATTATATTTTTTAATACTTATTCTTAAAAAATGTGTACCTCTTTCATAACGAAGTTATAGCGAAATTAAAATTGTAAATACTTTCGTAATTTTTTTAAATAAATTTCCGCCATTTGTTTGGTTACCTAGGCAAAGGTTCCACCATACAGTCTCTTCATATGTCAGTATTTTTCCTTGTTATGATAGAAAAGGTGCGAGCACGCCCGCACAGGGACCTACTCAATCAGGTTCTGACCCCAGACCAAAAGGCTAGTTGCTGGGCTGCCCCGGGTGCACGCACGGTACCCTCCATATAGGTATTGGAGTTGTAGACACGCACACTTCCCGTTGCGCATTGCGCAACTAATGGTTGCCACCGCTAAGCCGTTGGCTCTAAAGTCCACTACCAAATCTCCTCTAGGTGGCGGAGCTGTAAGGCAGTCGAATTGTACAGGTAGTGAGTAATTTTTGTAGGAGTAAGAGTAATTTTTCACTACCTGTGTTCTACAGGTAGTGAAAAATTATAATGTTAATAGTGACTATTTGAATACAAATATTGAACGTCTGTGTAACCATATGTAGTCTCGACCCTACGTTATGGACTTCTTATCTGGGGAAATGGTACGAATATAAACAGAGTGTTATTAGCACAAAAAAAATGTATACGTGCAATTACTGGTAGGACTCCGCTTGAATCCTGTAAACCTATATTTAAAGATCTTGGTTTATTACCCCTGCCTGCCTTATATATTTATGAAGCCAGCATTTTTGTGAAAAATAATTTACATTTGTTTATTAAGAGTATTGACGTGAACCATCGAAATTATAGAAATCCCAATAGACTAATTTTTTTTGACGTACCTAAGGTAGAAAAATATAATCAAAATTGTTTGTGTATGTGTGTCAGAATTTACAATAGATTACCAAATGACATTAAACACTTGTCCATTACATTATTTAAGACTAAATTATATGAATTGTTAAAGAATAAAGTATATTACAGTATTAGGGAATTTCTACAATAATTTTTATGTAAAAGAATTTAAATTAATTATATATAACTTAATGTAAATGTAACCATGTGACGACCTATTTTTCATTTATTTTGCATGCCTAAATTATCTTCGGGCGAAACATGCTTGAACTTATATGTATATTACTGTGTTATCATGACCACCATGTTTTATGCAAATAAACGATTTGATTTGATTTGATTTGAATTAAGAACTTACTTCTTTTTTCAAATCGGTTAATAAATTAAATATAAAAGAAACCCTTATGGTTAGACATTTGTGCCCGCCAATACGCCATTATGCGCAAAAAAAGCGCCAACTCTATCTTGACGACCATGGCGGGAGGTATGATTTCCCTGTCATACGCCCTTTCATTTAGTCAACTTAACAAAAGATAAAAATTTGCTGAAAAACACCTTCATTTTAGTATGGTTCTTGAAATTTTAGTGTCTTTACAAAGTTTCTAAGAAAACTGCAACTAACCAATGACCCTGTTATCTGAATTAAAGATAAAAACTAGGAAAAAATACAAGAAGGTATTATAAAAATAAATGTAGGACTACACAGTACAAATATATATAAAGTGTTTGGTGTATGTTATTAGTTATTAAACACAACCACTTATATATATATATATATATATTATATATATATATATATACATACATTACGTATGTAAGGTAATGTATATAATGTTATCAACTTGTTACAATATAATTGCATAACATGGGTGTCATTGGTTATGCGGTTGCCTTGACCCATCCAACGTTCAAGTATATTGCGTCATTAACCGGAAAGGTTGGTTTATAATACATAATATAATTCCTGTATAAATAGAACTAATTATCATTCATTTTTACACATACACACACGACCTACGCACACACATCCGGAGTTGGCGTTAATAGCTGCGTACAGTCTTATTCAATATTGTACTTATTTATAGAATAATTATACTTGTCATGTAAATCTTGTTGTTTGTTTATTTATATGTAAATTTTCACGACGTGCTTTTTATGATACCTAATGACGGGACGAACAAGGCGTGCTCTGGGTGGTAAGCGACACGCCTGCCCGTAACAGTTGCAGTGTCACTCAGAACTTTAATCACAAAGATGTGAGGGGCACTGTAACTGCGCCTTTTACTCTGCGTCATAAGCTGAGAAGCCCCATGTGCCTGTAATTTCACCAACACCCTTACCTTTCAAAACCAGAACGCTTTATTTTATTTTATATTATGTAGGCAGCAAACAAGCATGCGGCTCGCCTGATGGAAAGCGGTCACTGTCGCCTATGAACACTAGGGGTGTCACGAGCGCGTTGCCAACCCTTTAGGACCCTTTTCAAACCCTTTTGAAGGGCTCTATGCTGTATTCCTGTTTGAAAACCCCGGTAGGGAGTTCATTCCACAACCTAATTGTACATGGAGGGATGAAGCTCATCTGAAATCGTTCAGTACGAGATCGAGTCAGAGACTGAGGATGGACTCCCTGCCCGTGGCGAGAGGCGCGATGACAAAACGTTGTTGTTGACATCATGTCAAACAGTTTTTCAGAACATTGACCATTGCACGGGCGATAGAACAGACGTAGGGAGGCAAAGTCACTCCTCGGAGACAGTGGTTCACTATCGTCTGTAAGCAAGCACAGGATCGTCAACAATTCTCGTAGCACATCTTTCAAGCTGGCATTCGGGAACTCCCGCCCAAAGATGGCAATAATATTCCATGTGGGGACGGACTAGAGACTTATAAAGTAGAACTCTCTGCTCCGAAGTGAAATACCGCTTAGCTGTGTAGATCATACCGAGCTTTTTGGACGCCAGCTTGACTTTGCCATCTAAGTGACGAAGGAACTGAATGTCACAAGAGGTGTCGACATCAAGGGTCCCGATGCTCTCCGAGCTATTTAATGACTTGTTCTGGAACTGAAGGTCTGCAGCAAATGGAGTCTTTTTAACGTGAACGCGCAAATTTGTGTCCTGGTGGGGTTAAAATGTACTAAGTTTAGTCGTCCCCAATCAGATACCCTCTCCAGGGTATTTTTTGTTTGTGACACATGCTCACATTACTGCTCGACAGCAAATAGGTAAGGTGGCAGCGAACCGTTTCACAAGGACCTCTACCGCTACTAATATTTTAAATGAATCAGTTAGATAATTATTAGACGATTTCCGTGCTCGAGTGGCTTGCACACTTGTTTTCATGGTGTCGGCAGCTCTGAAGTCAATGTAGAAAACTAACTTTTCTTATCGTCTCGGGTCTGGGTGTTTGTGGTACCGTCGTTGTTTCCGATTTCCATGACAACAGTGCTTTAAAATCTAAATGTAACTGCTTTAAAGTCTAAATTGCACCTAAACACTAAAAAACCATGCATATGCCCTAAATAAAGAAAAGTAATTACAGATAGGTCACATCGCGCATCGTGTAACATAAAAGATCTATAAATATTTACTAAAAATAAAACACAGACTATGAATATTTTTAAACAAAGTCTGTGTCAAGGACTTCGATATTTTCTGCTTGCCAATAATAGTGGTTCCATCCAAAATAGTTTCTTTTTTACTTATTATTAGATTTGTTCACAAAATGCTGAATTATACCGAGACACCGCTTTACATTGATTACATGACAACGTTAAGATGGTTGAAATGTACTACGATATAATAACCCACATACTCTCTCTCACACTCGCACTAGGGAGAATCTGTGTCGCCATGTGTGCCATGGACACACACATAGACAACCACAAATTACACCCAAACTCACGAGAGAAATAAATGTAGGCCATACAAATATTTGTATGGCCTGGGATCTCCGCGTGGCAGTCCGGCATGGTAACCGTTCGGCCACGGAGACAGGTAAATATGTCAATTTTGCATGTCAGACACGTCTCACTTTTTAAACAATCTTCCCGGTGAACTAGATCATCTTCGTCATCCACAGTCTGATTTCACCCACTGCTGGGTATAAATGTTAAACGGGAACAAGTTCTTGACTCATAACACCTTGTTTATCCAACAAATGATACAACTCTGAATGACATTACGCAATTACTCGTAATATAAGATGACCCATCTTGCGGTCATGAGCGCACAGTGGGTAAGTTCATTGAGTATAATCTCGAGGCCAGGAAACCCCTCACGATTAATTATTACAGTTAGTAATAATAATTTAATATGTAATTGATAACAATTGGACATATACAACTACACACATATAAATACATAAAATATTAATTAGACATAAATCCCATTACATTATAACTTATAAGACAATTCTACTCACCAAAGAAGGTAAAGTTGGATTTTAAAGTCACTCTAGTAGCTCCATGTATAATATGCTGTAGATAACTAACCACTCAACAAGGTAGACTTTAGGAAATGAAACTGTTTTTCCGGATTTAAGTCACGTATATTTATTTGCTTTTTGAAACAAGCCAAAGTTTCGGGCCCTTAGCAGGTCCCATGGTCATGGTTGACGGTTGTCCAACGTGACCACGGGACCAGCAAAGGGCCCGTAACTTTAGTTTCTTTGAAAGAGCAAATATACACGATTTAAATCCGGAAAAATAGTTCCATTTCCTATGTGCAACAATCGGGAAAACCTAAGAACTCGATAAGGTAGACTTTTTCATGAGCTACAAGCACGCTTCTTTTTAACTAATGTGGATGTTGTAGATACTTTTTAATATTCGCCTATAATAAAAATCCGTTATAGTTTAAAAACAAACATCAAATAGCTCTTCTACATTGATGGAAATGAAATTACGTCATTATTAGAGCGCTACGATTTATTTTATACCACCTAGGCTGCTAACAGATTGACTGTTATCCGAGATCTCGACTGCATGGAGTTGATAACGACTTCACGCTTTAACTGCATACAGTCGACATGGTCGACACCGACTTCATGCAGCCGAGATCGATTGCATGCAGTTAATACGTGAAGTTGATTAAGACATCACGCTTTAATTGCAAAAATGTATTCAATCTGTTAGCAGCGTAATGATGTGCGATGCGGTCATAAACAACGACATAAATTACTAGCGCTGATTCATGCGTCACAATCAGAAGTTCGAGACGGCAAATACCGCCGCACGAGTTTAACCTTGACAGATTGATGTATATGACCACTTGCTTCGCTGATAACCCAATGCTGCGAGGTGAACTTATTGTGGAAACAAAACAAGATAAGGATATTTTTGTCCCAAATTTCTGATCTTCTTGTAACAGGTCAGAATTATAAATTCAAAATTATAACGTGACAACCTCACCTAGTGCGTCCGAAGCAAGTGTCCGGTCTATCGTTGCCAGATACTGATTTATCATTTCCGGGACAATTCTACTTGGGTAAGGGAGACGGGCCGTCTACTGCTAGAACTAATTTGTCAGATGTCCATCTATCTAATTTGACGGTCATAACTTGACCGTAACATTATTATCTACTATCTTTTGGGAGTTCTTAATACTCGTTGAGTACCTAACTGCCTACCTACCTACAAATATTTTACGTAATTCGCAATCAATATTTTTATATTAAATTTCTGCCTCCGTGGCCGAACGGTTACCATGCTAATCACTGAACACGGGACAAGACGTGAAATTCCGGGACAATTCCGGATTTTCCGGCCATCTGACACGCCTAGTCCGACCCGATATCGCGACCACCTATCACCGAGTGACTTAATCGATTAGACTTTCTGAATCTAAATGACGCTTCTCGCAGTCGACCCTTTTTTGCCAAAATATGACCATTTGCATAACCAAATGTGGTAATAACTAAACGACTTCTGGTAACTTCCGTCTTAAGCGCGATTACTGACCCTCATCCCCGCGCGCCCCAGTTGGTATTCGAGATTCCGCCATTACCGTTGGTTCGAGTTAGATAGTGTTTCATGTGCGCGAGTTTTTATTAATTTATTTATTTTGTTTTTGAGGGTACAAACAGCTTGTATCACAATGTAATATAAGCTATATTAAATAATTATAAGCAAAAACAGTTCCCTATTGATAAAAATGCAATAGCAAAATACAGCATTGACTACACTAAACCACTAAACGACATTGTACACACACACATGATACATGATAGAAGCAATGTAACATTACGCAAATTAGTAAGAACTTTAGTAAGAAAAAAATGAATTAGATAGTACCTTCTTATCGTACGCACAGTTTGTGTTAAACAAATCAAAATCGTAAAGAGCAGAAATTTTGTTAAAATTATTGCTAGCACGCTATAAACGTATTCCGCTTATAATTTTGGAAAGCGACACAGGTAAATGAATTACTGATTCGTTACGTAAATGCTTAGCTGGAACCCTTAAGTGAATCTCAGACAGAAGCTCGGGTCAATCGACGACATTGGTGGTAATTTTAAATCGATAGTTTATGTCTGCTATTTTACGTCGCAATTCAAGGGGAAGTATATGGTGTCTTTTGCAGATATCTAAATAGTTCGAAGAGCGGTAAGGCCTATTAATTTTAAAACATAAGTAACGAACAAATTTATGCTGAATTCTTTCCATACGCGAAATATTGATGTTATACATTGGGTTCCACAGTTTTTTCTTTTGTATTAGTTCATGTTTCTATTCACGTCGCAGTTTCTGTGAATATCTTGTGCCCCGTTTTCACCAGTAAATAACCACAACGCTCTTCCGACTGACTTATTTTATTTGGCCTGGTCATGAAATGCTTTTCTCCGCGACATTTATGAGCACCGAAACGTGTATACATAACATGTTTATAATTGGTGTATCAAACGCAACGCGTGCGGGTGTATGTGTGTGCACGCCTGGCGCGTCGCACCATGTACGGACGGGTACACATTCTAATATTGTTCGTCGACTCACGCGCCAATAATTATAGAATCAAATAAGCCGTCGCTAGGTGTTAAAACAACGACACCATTCCATCTAAATCGCATACATTTGTTTTTCCAAACAAACCTAACGTTTCGGGCTCTTTAAAGGTCCCAACGGTCTAAAATAATATATTCTTCCTGAAAACAATTGTATTGTTTTG